CTGTATTCCCAGAGAGGCTGAGGTGGGGGCATCACTTGCATCTAGGAGTTTGAGCCAGTCTGGGCAACATAGACCCTGTCTCTGCAAAAAATAAAAAGTAGTTAGGCACAGTGGCTCACACCTGTAATCCCAGCATTTTGGGAGGCTGAGGTGGGCAGATCACAAGGTCAAGAGATCGAGACCATCCTGGCCAACATGGTTAAACCCTGTCTCTGCTGAAAATAGAAAAATTGCTGGGTGTGGTGGCACGTGCCTGTAATACCAGCTACTTGGGAGGCTGAGGCAGGAGAATCATTGAACCTGGGAGTCAGGTTGCAGTGAGCCAAGATTTCGCCACTAGACTGCAGCCTGGTGACAGAGCAAGACTGCATATCAAAAAAAATTAAAAAGTTAGCAGGGTGTGGTGGTGCGTACCTGTGGTCTCAGCTACTTGAAAGGCTGAGGTGGGAGGATCACTTGAGCCCAGGAGGTCAAAGCTGCAGTGAGCTGTGGTCATATCACTGCACTCCCATCTAGCCTGTGTGACAGAGTGAGACCCCGTCTCAAAGAAGAACAAAAGCTGGTGCAGTGGCTCACACCTGTAACCCCAACACTTTAGGAGGCTGAGACAGGTGGATCACTTGAAGTCAGGCGTTCAAGACCAGCCTGGCCAATATGGTGAAACTCCATCTCTACTAAAAATATAAAAATTAGCTGGGTGTGACACCAGGTGTCTGCAATCCCAGCAACTTGGGAAGCTGAGGCAAGAGAATGGCTTGAACCCGGAAGGTGGAGGTTGCAGCGAGCTGAGACCATGCCACTGCTCTGCTGCCTGGGTGACAGAGTGAGACTCCATCTCAAAAGGATGGTAGAGACTTTTCTGTTTCCTGGGCAAAAAGTCTCTCACTGGTGCTCACCCAAGCTGAGAACTAGAGAAACTGCAAAGAAAACAGTCCTGATTATATGCAAGCTTGCAAGGTGGAGCTAAAACTAATCCACTGGAAGGTGACAAGAAACAGCAAAAGGTATCATCCTTAATCCAAGCTGTACAGCAATTCACAATTCACAAGGGCTCTTCTGTACACAGCATTTAATAGGGAGGCGAGAGGGAACAACAAAGCAAAGGCAGAGTTGGGGCATCAGACCAGGGCAGGGCTGGAACTAGGGAGAAGCAACCAGTTGGCAGGCAGGCTACTACAAGCAGCAAATGGAGAGCCCTCTCACCCAGCCAACTCCAGGAGCTTCTCTGGTCCCTTGTGCTCTACCCTGAACCTTAGCCCAAGAGCCTGTTCCTCATCTCCAGCAAAGGACAGCAGGGCAGGACCTGAGTTGGTCTCTTCAGGGGCTGTCTTGAAGATGGCTGTTTTAGCAGAAATGAGGCTGCCCAAAGGTTTCTACAAGGCACCTTGCATGGACTTCAGGGGTTGTTGAACACATGCCCTGACATCCATGCACTGGAGACCTGTATTTAAACATGGGCTAGCTGCCCATCCTGGCATCTTTGGCTAATACTCTTACCCTGGGTGCCCCTATCTGAGAATGATACTTTGGGCTGTTGAAGAGCCTGTCTGAGGAGCCTCACATGGGTTTCCTGGTTAAGTTGTAAAGTCACTCTGCCAAAGAGGTTATCACTGCAAAAGTCAGGACCTGGTGGGCTGGGCTCACCACACCCTTCCAGCTCTGACTGCCTGGTATAAATGTTCCTCTTGAGATGGATGTGTGTCAAGGTAACCACCGAGAGCACTGGGCTGTGGCTGGGGATAGGGCGGGCAGGATTTGCTCTTGGTCACACTGGAAGGATGCCCAGACCACACCCAAACACTGGAGCAGTTCTGGGATACAGTGTCTGAATCCTCAGGGGCCATTGCTGTCTTGGCCCTGACTGTGCAAGGGAATCACGAACACAGAGACGTCATCGTAGGACACCTGCCCTTCCCCTGTGAGACCGTCTTCCTTCCCCTGTGTGCTGTGTATCAGCATCTGGGCCAGCTTCAAGAACCTGTGAAGACCATCCTGCAGATAGACTTCAGGGGCAGGGCAAAGGGGCAAGGCCAGTCCTTAGAACTCACTGCATAAGGTTGGACACTGGGGACCCAAACATGCAGTCTGACTGTGGAGCAAGGAAGCAGCAAGCCTGGGTGGGCCACGGGCTGGACCACAGGAGTCTAGATCCAGGGATTTTTGGAACCCACAGTCTCCCCTCCTCCCCCAAGAAGCTTGAGACAGCCCTGATCCTGGCCAGCTGCCAGCTCATTGTCAGTGCTGTCTTCTTAGCTATAACTTCTTGGGTTTGCTGCTGGCACCAACCCAGGCAGGTCCCCAGCAGCTACAGTACCTGTGTGGGTCCTCTTGGTTCCCAGGGAGGAAGCTCCGCACCAGCCATGCTACCTGCTCGTTGGACAGGACATCCCAGAGTCCATCAGTCGCCATGACAACCACATCATCCTCCTGTAGCTCCAGCTGGTCCACATCCAGCACAGTCACCTACAAGTTAAGCCTGAGGATTCTGCATGCTCCCTTCCCTCCTCCCACCAGCCTCACTGTCTGCCTTTCTGGGCAGATGGAAGCTGGGTTGGATAGCATTGCCCCCTCACCTGTGGGACAGAGAGCAAGAAAGGCTTGAGCTGGATGTTTGTGTCCAGGACTCTGAGCTGATGGTCTCCCAAGCCCCGGGAGACAGCCAGTGTTCCTAGTAACCGAGCCTGAGGGAAAGTGAGGTGTGAGGTGACGGCAAACAGCTCCAGCAAATGCACAAGTACCAGGCTCTAGCACTGCAGAGCACACAGGGAGAGGTGGACTGTGGCCACCTTTGGAAGCCTTGGACTGAGAGAGAAAATTCCTGGTCTCAGAGCAAACCCCAGGGCACCAGCCACAGCTACCAGAAAGAGGCAAAGGAGCTCCCACCTCTGTAGGGGATAATGAAGAGGGATTCTTGTGGGAAGCCAGGCACTGACCTGCCTACCCTGTCCGTGGATCAGTGGGTACTTGAGATCCGATTTGTCCACACGTTTGTAGCTCCTACCAGGAGCAGAGCCAGCATCAACCCAAGCCCTGTACCCCATCTCATCTTTCCCCAACTTAGGGCCCAGCTATCATACCCTCATGGTGCCCACCCTGCCAAGGTGGAGGGGGCTGCCCCAGGCCATACAGCTGGGCCCGGATCCCAGGGCTCTCCCTTCCCACCTGTCCCTCATCCCCACTCACCAGCCCCTCATGTGGTGATCCCTGAACAAAACCTTCTGTCCCAAGTCATCCCCCTTCAGCCGCCGAGGGAACTCCAGTCGGGTGAACTCACCAGCCAGAAGCTCAGGGTAGACAAAGGCCTGGGGTGGGGAGGCTGTGCTCAGGTCACACTCCCTCTAGTGGCCCTGGACCCAGGAGTTGGGGCTTCACAGCCTCCATGCTGCCAAGGGCACCTACCAGCTGCTGGATCCGCTGCCGCTCAGTCTCTGGGGTGAACTCGGAGCTCAGTGGCCGTATCTCATCTCTCCGCACCAAGATGGCCCTGGATGGGGTTGAAGAGAGGAAGGAGAAGTCTAGGAGGGGGCCTCTACCCTCACTAATATCCACCCTCCTACCAGTCCCTCCTCCAACCACCAGGACCCAGCTCTGCCCATCATGATCCCCTAAAGTCCTCCATGACTGCCCAAAACCTGCAAGGGTAGAAGCTTAGCTCTTTAGCAGGGCACTTGAGGTCCCTGCTCTCCCCAGCAGCCACTGTCCACCCTCACACTCCACACATGCCAAGTACATACTCAGTTCAGCCAGCCAATCCTTCCTACTATCCCTCCACTTCCAGCCACCTTTCATTGTCCCCATTGCTGCTTGTGCCCTCCCCACCCCACCCTTGCCCACCCTCCAAGGGGTGACTCACTCACCTGCTATCCCCAGCATTGGCCACGTACAGCTTTCCCTGAAGGGACACAGCCACCAGGGCTGTGCAGCCGCCCACCTGGCCTGAGGCCTCCAGCTCCCGCCCGATCACCTCATCCTGGGGCAAACCGAGGCCACCTTAGCTGCTGCCTGTTCTGCCACCATACTGCTTTGTCTCTCAATCCCCACCCTCCCCTATAGTTCACTTCCACCATGAGGCCTGACAGTCCCAGCCCAAAGTCCAGCCATGATCCCTGCAGTCAGAAGATCTAGACAAGGGAAGTGCTACTCAAAATAGGAAAAGAGACCAGCCCCTGCACCAAGGACCAACAGGGCATTCAATGAGATGATGCAGGTAAAAGTAACCAGCACATAGTAGATGCTGGATAAAAGAGGGGTTATGCTGAGAGTGATGGCTGTTAGTAACAACCCAACCAACCCAATCTCATCCTTCCAATCTCTGTATACTGTGATGACCACGATATACAGAGATGCCATTCCTTGAGATCCCTAGGGACAAAATCTCAATTTCTTCTCCAGCCAAAAGCCACACACTCACACATTCCTGAAAGGCACTCTCCAGTGCCCCGATCACCAAGTCTTCTGCCTTGATGCCCTTTTCCTCCACAAACTGGGGGTCACTGGGGCAGATGCAGCGACCGCTGAGGTGCATGGGGGGCCGAGTGGCTACCAAGCCCTCTACAACAGCCTCCAGCTGCCGGCGCAAGCAGGAATGCAGGGTGTTGGCAGCCAAGATGGCTGCTGCAGGACCTCCATGCCCATCAAACAGTGCCCAGTAATGGCCCGTCAGGAACTGCACAGGAAAGGCTCAGTGTCAGGCTCTGACAACTTCCCCAGCTGTCTGTCTGACCCAACCAGAACTAGGACGTGGGGCAGCAGGCCAAGAACCTCAGCTTGCACGTCCTGGCCCCAGACTGTAGGAGGGATTCAGGCCAAGAACTCAGGCTACACTCACTTCCTCTGGACACAGGGTCAGCCACTCTTCTTCAGCCCCAAACTCACATCTCCGGATGCACAGCTTCCCACAGGCGGCTTGATCCTCATTGAATTCAGATTTCTCTGCATTGATAATCCTGAGGCCGAGAAATTGTCAGCGGTCCTCCAGGGACACACCTATGTCCCTATGGGCACAGGGACCCGAGCCAGCACAGGGAGAGGACCCCTCCCTCTGGGGCAACAGCTCCCCAGTGCTGTCCCTAACACACACTTAGACAACCAAGATGTAAGCTTCCTAACTTCAGTGGCTCCATAATTAAGGTGAAAGTCAGGGCCCAACTCCTCTGGAGCCTACCTGCGGACCCAGGGCTAGAAGGTAAGGGTGGGCTGCCCTTCCTGTTCCCTGACCTGTCACAGCCCAAAGCCCTGTCCCATGCAGTACAGGTCATACCCAGGTTAAGATGGTGGAGGTGGGGGGCGGGGGGAATCCCAAAGCCCCACATGCTGGAACTCTACCGAGTCTCCGGGCCTCATCTTGGAAGCCCCTGGGCTGCAGGTCCTTCCTGATCTCTTGTCATCTCTGAGGGGTAGGTCGGAATCCCAAGGGAAACCCTGGGTCGGGATGTTGGGGAAGTTATCAGGGTTCAGATATGAGGATAAGAAGGGGCTGTCCACAGGTGGTGGAGCTGTCACTCACTCAGCTCCTCCCGCTTTCTAGGCCGGCACTGGACCCGAGGCGGGCTCAGGCCGGGGCCGGGCCAGGGGTCGGGAGAGGCACTCACTCGGCGTAGCCTGCGTTCCAAGGCAGCGCGCGTCCTCGCGCGGGGCTGCGCACGGGCCGGGAGTCTGGGCGGCGCGAAGCTTCTGCCGCGCCGGGGCTGGAGCAGGAGCCGCGCAGGAAGCGGGGCCGCTGATAGGGGACTGGGCTGGCACGCGGCCCTGGCGGTCGCGGCGCGGGGAGCGGCTCCCCAGGCAGGAAGCGGCGCCGGAACCAGCCGGCGGACATGGTGGCAGGGGGCTGCCCGCGGAGCGCGGGGCGCCAGAACTGGGCCGCCCGCGGGAGGAGGAAGCGGGCCGGGGGCGGGGCCGGGGCGGGGCTGGGGGCGCGCGGGCGGGAGGCGACGTCCCCCAGCCCCGACCTCCGTCCCGGAGCGCGTGCGCGGCTGGCTTGCTCAGCCGGGGGTCCACCCTCAACCCTCGCGACCGCGCGAGAAATCCCACGCCGGCATCAGCCCCATTTGACAGGCAGGAAAACCGAGGCCCGTAGAGGAGAAGTCGCCTGCCCGGCGTCCCACAGTTCACCCACGCGTAGGTCACCGGCGGTTGAGAGGAAAAGTCCCCCACACCCCGCGGGCCAGCGTCGCGCAGAGCCTCGGGCCTCCTTCTGCTGGGCGAGGACCTGACGAAGGGGAAGATGGGGACAGGATGTGGTGGGAAGTGTCAGACGCGCACCTTGAGTAAGTGTCTTTGAGCACAGGGTTCTTCAGGCCGCCCCCAACCCTCTCCACCCCGGCCTGCCACCCTCCACCCCAGACGGGCTTAGTGGTCACACTGGCTTTCCCCATCCTGAGAAGCTGCTACCACCCTCGAGGACCCTCTTCCAAATGGCTGTCCCTGCAATCAAGATGCCCTCGCGGAATAGACAGCCGGATCCTCACTGGACGGTGACTCACGGACAAGAGAAATCTTTGTGTGTATAAAGGGGAATCCGTGGTCCCCCAAGGGCTCCAGCTGGTCCGGGTTCAGACCTGGGACGGAGAGAAGTGAAAGATGAAGAACCATCTTGCGGTCTCTCAGTCACTGGCTAGCTGTCACGGGGGGGGGGTGTCAGCAGCAGTGTCCCCTTCACATCTACGAGTTAACAGAGCGCTTCCTCACCCATCTGTCACTTAAGTCCAACTCCCCGTGCAAGAGTGTTACTTTGGTCGGAATCGTGGCTCACACCTGTAATCCCAGCACTTTGGGAGGTGGAGGCTGGCAGCTCACCTGAGGTCAGGAGTTCGAGACCAGTCTGGCCAACATGGTGAAACTCCGTCTCTACTGAAAATACAAAAATTAGCCTGGCATAGTAGTGTGCACCTGTAATCCCAGCTACTTGGGAGGCTGAGGCACAAGAATTGCTTGAACCCAGGAGGTAGAGGTTGCAGTGAGCCGAGATCAACCCACTGCCCTCCAACCTGGGTAATACAGCGAGACTCAGTCTCAAAAGAAAACAAACAAAAAAAAAAGAGTGTTACTTCACATGGAGGATTCTGAGGCCCACAGAGGGGAAGTCTTGGACACCCAGGGCTGTGCTATTTCCATTATGACAATGCAGCTGACTCAATCCTCACCCCCAGGACACTTCTCTTCCCCTTTCTTCCTCCAGGAAGCCAGGGCTTGCCAACTGATTACAACCTCTGATTACAGGCATGAGCCATCCACAGCCCAGTGCCTCCATATGAGCTACGTGAGGAGTCCACCTTCACCTCCACTCCCTAGCCCAGGCAGATGCTCAGTAGGCCCCACTTCCTCCCAGCAGCTAGCCCTGCCCCAGTGGGAGTTCCTCCGGCCCAAGAAGGAAGATTCTTAGGGCAGGGAGCTGTGCCCCACACCCACTCCCTCCAATGACTCAGTTCCAGAGCAGCCTGGGGGCTGATTGACTGAACCCACAGTGTGTGCTGGGCCCACACTGGGCACAGGAGCACAGTGCTAATGGAGACAAGCCAGGCCTGTGCCCACCAAGCCCCCTGCAGTGAGGGTAGCAGTTCTGGTGGATCCTGCTTCATCCAGCTGGCAAGGGGATGGGGTGACATTAGAGAAGTTTCCCAAAGGACCTCTGAGCTGAGAACTGTCACTGGGACAGAACAGAAATGTGCCAGGGTGGGGCAGGCCCAATTCAGTCTGTGGGGCCACTTCCACACCCTCGCCAGTATGCGTCAGAGGATTTTAAAGTCTACAATCGGAAGAAACAAAGTGCACGCACACTATTCCCCAATTCACCTCTGGGTGGGGGAAAGTCTTGTCCTAAAGTATTTTCACAGAAGGTCTAGACAACCAGATGTCATAGGCAGTCTGTTGCCCAGCTTAGCCATTTTTCTGTTTCAGAGCCATGTAGAGCCCCATGGCAATCCCATCCTCTCTGTTCCAAGGTGGTCTGAGTGTTCCTTCAGTGTTACCAGGCTCTTCTGGCTTCCAGGGATCCTGAGTACCTCAGTCGTGCCTGGATCTTAAGCCTATGTCTCTTGGTTTATTCCCTCATTTTGCCAAAGTGCATCCTCCAACAACTTTCCAAGACAGGATGACTGGGAGGTACTTTCCTGAGAGATATTACTTATCTATCTTTTTCTGTGAATGGTCAATTTGTATCCTTTGCCCTACTTTCTACTGGACCATTGGTCTTTTTCTTTCTGACTTATGAGGGCTCTTTATATATTAGAGAAATCCGCTCTTTATTTTGAAATGAGTTACAAGGTATGCTGTTTGTAACAAGTTACAGTTTGTTATTTGTGTTTTGGCTGTGATGGTGGCTTTTTCCATACAGACTTTATCTTTAATGCAAATGGATTATTGATCTTTTTATAAAGGAAAATAAAAATTTCAGGACCCCCAAATTTGTTATGCCAAAAGGAGAGTTGGCCGGGCGTGGTGGTGCACTCTGGTAATCCCTGCACTTTAGGAGGCCGAGACAGGTGGATCATGAGGTCAAGAGATTGAGACCATCCTGGCCAACATGGTGAAACCCTGTCTCTACTAAAAATACAAAAAATTAGCTGGGAGTGGTAGCCAGCACCTGTAGTCCCAGATACTCGAGAGGCTGAGACAGGTGAATGGCTGGAGCCTGGGAGGCAGAGGTTGCAATGAGCCAAGATTGTGCCACTGTACTCCAGCCTGGCAACAGAGCAACACTGTCTCAAAAATAAAATAATAATAAAGGGAGAGTTAAATTTGGAGACTAAATCACGCAACACTGGCATTTCTTTTTCTTTTTTTTTTTTTTTTTT